TTTTGGGAGCTGGAGGCGGAGGAAACGGTGTAGACGGCGGAGGAGACGGTGTTGATGGAGGAGAAGACATTTTAGGACTTGAAGGAGAAGGAGATTGTGTTGATGGAATTGACGGTGATGGTGTTGACGACGCTGGAGTTGATGGAGTTGGTGATGACGGAGTTGAAGGAGGCGGTGTTGACGGAGATGGTGATGATGGAGTTGACGGAATAGACGGAGAAATGGAAATGGTAGGAGCAGATCCGTTGCTATAAGTACATTTCCATACTTTGGAATCTCCATAGTTGAATTGATGAGAAGTGCTCATAAACATTTTGTTTCTTGAGATTACTGATGGATTTGGCCATCTTTCAGTAGGTTTTGGCCAAAATCTAAAACTTTTTGCGACGGTTGTGGTCGGAAAAGTGACGAGGCAGAGGAAAGTTGTTGCTATAAAGAAGATGGAGTTTTTCATTGTTTAAGGGAAAATAGAAGATTTTGTGAGTGTGTACAAACAAAATGAATGCACGAATCGAGCAAATTATATAAATAGATAGATTTAACTTTATTTATGTTGATTTTAGGTTAAAAATAAAACAAAGATAAAACAAAATTAGACCGTGTCTCTTTACTATTATCTCTTAATATATTAAATGTTATTGTAAATATTAGTATCTTATTAAAAAAACAAAAATGAATGTTCTTAACGAACACGAGGAAAAATGAAATGACAATATATTTATTTCGATTATTTGACTGGATGATATACTCATAAAAATATCGTTAGGTAGTTTGCAGATTTCTCAACTCTCAAGTGTAACTTGGCAAAATGCCATATAAATAAATGAAATTTAGAACGTTAAAAACATAAAACAAAAATGCATGCAGATTTGTCTACTTAGTAAAGCCCATAAGGCCCGTTTATGAAATGTATCAGGCTTATACAAAAGCCCTATTGACTTATTAACGCACGTTGAGCAAAACGGCGTAGTTTATTGATTAGACTTTAAGCACCCGAAAGATCCGACCCGGAGAGGAGAGATCCGGACAAACCCGACCCAAATTTCTTACATTTTTTTGGTTCGA